ATAACAGGCAAGCGATATGCATTTCCAGTCTTGGAGTGGGCTTCTAACAGACACAATGATTTTTGATAACTCAAGATAACTCGATGCCTCGAACTCTCATAAGTCATCCTTTCTTTCATTAGTCAAGGCGACAACATCCACCAAGAGCACCAGTCAATCGGTCGGAATTTTGGCTCCAGTGCATAGACGGGGAAGGTACAGGGGGAAATGGTTGATATTCTTTCACTTCGCTGATCTATTGCCTGACATGTTTCAATACCACTCCTCCGATGTTCCAACTTGAGTGACACTTTGGATGAAACTTCCAAGCCTGAATCCCAACTGGTTGACCGTATTCCCCCATCACTTTTGATGCTCAAGTCGATAGCTCAGCACCTAAAGCATGCAGCTCAGCTACATATGAACCCCCCATCTATCCGGCCACCTCCTCCCCTCCCACCCCGAAGCCATGGCTCGCCGCCGGCCAGAGCCTGGTGAGGCCAGGGACGGTGGAAGTGGATGTCCTGGCCTGGAATACGATTTTCCTTATGCCAAGCGGGGAGGGTTGTCCACTTCATGATTTGTTTCAGGAGATATGTATCCCTAGGGCTCCAGTCGTACCTCCTCAGAAGGTATGACTCCCAGTCCCACCTTCTCAGAAGGTGCGACTGGAGCCCTAGGGTATACATGTTCTATCCACCAACGGTCCTTAGCCTATAGAATCCCCAATGCTTTTACCCTGTGTTATGCCAAATCTGACCCTCATTTTATATACCACATGGCTGGGACACAGCCTGAATCTTGCTGTGTTTTGGAGGGATGGTATATGAAGGCATGGCCCCCCCAATGTCTTCCCCCCCGAAGATATCGGAAGACCAGGAGTTTTCTGAAGACTGCTTGGATGAACCGGAGGGTTAACAGCTTATAACATATCTAATATATATACAACTTAATCAGATGCTCAACCTTGAGCAACCCCGCGGTTCATCCAAGTGGTGGTGAACTGAAGACACAGACGGCCGATTGGGCCGGGACGTCCCGGCCGATGTATTGAAGAAGGTGCGACCTGGTGATGGTGCGACATCGCTCTCATGGCAGAAAAAGGAATGTCCCCCCGGGCCCCCCCCCCCCTCCCATCCCCTACCTTGCTTTGGGCACTCTAAATTTTGAAACAAGAAGCTACTAGTCGCTCCTGGCATTACTACTAGGAACAAGAAGCTACTGATTAGTTGCAATCACTGATTAGCTCCGCATTGGGCAAACATTCCGGCATCTCTCCGAGGCTCGCAGCCTCGTTGGCTCTGCACCCGCAACTCATATCCATTGCAACTAAGACTCGGCTCCCAGACGAAGCGCATGGGTTTTCAGCGTGCCCCCCAAAACCGAGGTCTCCACACCGTCCTCCAAAAAGGTCTTGAAAACCCATCAAAATTTGCTGAGAAATCCCCTACAGCTGAAGACCCCTAAGCCTTGCTGCACGGGGAAGAACACCTGACCTCACCCGCTGTGTCGAGGACTTCGAGGAATTCGTTGTGAGCCCCCACCGCTGCTCCTCTGAGCCCCAGCTGCGCAGGCGCGCGAGCGCGCGCGCACGCGCGCTCGTGCGGGGCTTGGTGAGATCGTTGGACTAAGCGCAGCAAGTGGCGGCCACCATGTCACGGTCCTACCAGCAGGTCCATATCGGAATGATTTGGTTCCTCCCATCCAGTGGATGTGACAGGGGCAACCAACTCCGGCACCCTCCGTTCGGCACCCAACTCCATGGAACTGTGACTTGTTGACGGCCCCTGCGGCGAGCGAGGCTTTGACCGGTCAAGCGCCCGGAGGTGTGGTCGCTCCCCACGGCTTTCAAGGTTTCCTTCAATCGTCCTGTTCCATGCTTTTCGGGGCGAATTACACCCTGGAAGACGATCCCATGGACCCTGAAAACCACTGCCTGGTAGAGGAAAACAATCTTCCAGGGGGCCATCGTCAGGGTCCACGTTAGTTTTCGGGCGAATTATACAATATGAACCATTATGAACCATTATATATAGGATTCATTCAAAGGTTTTGTATAATTGGTTGGTGAGATGGACAAAAACCTTTCAAACAGATTCGTCTCCAAGATCTGTGGATCTCCAAGAATGAGAGGCAAGCCATCCAAGATCATGTTGTGCATTGTGGTGCTGTCAGGTTTTTCACAAATTGTTGCTGCTCGAGCATGTTCAACTTCAATCCTATTTTGGTGGAAGGCTTCCCAAACCACCATCCAGATCGATTGACAACGATTCGCATCGTACTCTCACAACTTACCCCACAGAATTCAAGAGAACGTTTACACGCAGTGCAGGCATAGTTATCCTTTCTATGTTTTGTTTTATGTCCTTTAACATTTAAAGGATATAGGGATGCACACCAACTAAAAATCATCCTCTTTTTGTGAAGATCCGTTTGGTTTCCCCAACCGTTTTGCTTACGTCACCCGGTCACGCCTCCGTTTCTGGCTCCGCCCCGCTCGGCAGGTGGGACTTCAGCTCCCCGACGAGCACCCCCTTCGCCGGCACGGAGACCCGCCAAACGGAAAGCGGAGAGGCAGCGCTTTCGGACACCGGACACCGGCTGTGGGCCGCAAGCTGCTTTTTAGGGGGAAGGATTCCCAGGTGTAAAACCCACGGGGTGAGAGCCGAGGGACTCCGAAGTGAAGAGAAAGGATTCTTTTGCTAACTAGCTATATGCTATAGTCGATGAAGGCCTGAAGGCTTTTGTTCTTGAATGATGCTAAGCTATATGTTTTTTTTTCTTTTCCTTAGTTCGCCTCATTCCTGGGAAAGTTCCTTTGTGGTGCAGCCTTCACAGCTCTACCCTGGTGTTGCTTAGCTGTTTTTTTCCTTGCTTCCATGAACCTGAGGAAGGAAGAGCCACACCATGCGGCTTTGATTTGTAGTTGTAGCTTGATCCAACAAATGCACGTTTGTGATAGAGGACGGCCTTCCGACATCTCCAGTTTTCAGTGATGACTGTCTTGGTGCAGGTGGTGCAGACATGTCATGTCAAACAACGGTCTGTCACAAATGTTCCAGAACTGGGGAAGTTAGGAGGGCGGAGGGTGACGTACCTGTTTGTGGATTGTCTTAAAGGTATATTTAATCGTCGACCAGCTATGAGTCTGAGGGCGCTTTCTCGCGAAGCTTGGAGGTGACTTGCGAGGTGTCAGATTCAGAAGACCATCCCAAAAGGAACATGACCCCTGGCTGAGTGAGACTGGCCAAAATTTTCCGCAATAACAAGCATGTCCTGGTCTTAGCTTGATCAGACATCATCTCCTACTTCGTTCTACCATCGATCTTCGATCTTTTTCTAATAATGATTGGTTGGTAAACTGAGGGGATACACCCTGGAAAATTAACATGGAACCTGAAAGCTCAAAGTTGATCCACCCCACCTGGGCTCGGCCCTACACAAAGAAACCGGAATGATCGAGGGATCGAGCTTTGCGTTGGGGTTACCAGGCTCCTGACAACTGAAGCCCGGGCCGGGTGACAACCGAAGCTGGCCCAGGTGATGAAAGAAGCCAATTCTTTTTCTATGGTGACGAGGCGGCAATGCAGAGAATCCATTCTGGTCGTGGAGGTGTTGGCAGCTGGATCTACCACGGCAGCTGGTTCACCCACCGTTTTTGCATGACGCATGTTTCATAGCCAAACGAGTTTTGCGTGCTTGGACGGTTGTTGAGCTGTAGTTGCTCTCACTGGACCTGGTCATACAGAAAAGTTTTACTGGGTCTGACTGACTTGTGGGGATTGAACCAGTACTGAATGTGTTAAGTACCACAAGTATAATAATATAATATAGATTATTTAACTTCATACTGTAGCTACTACATAGTACATTTGTTAGGTACTGTACAAGTATGCCTGGCGGGGCCTTAAAAACAGAAGATTCTGTGGCACCCCGTACGCTGGAACTGGGAGATTCGACCTCCTGGAGTCCCAGAATGAAGGGAATCGAAGACGACCCCGGGTTTCCTGTAGATCTGGGCAAATCCTTTTGGTGATTGGAGTTTGCCACCCAACTGCAAGAGGTGGAAAGCTGTTTACGGGAGATTGAGGTCCTTGATCCTGAGATGAAGCTGGTATGTACATCCAGTCATGCGGCAGCGAGAAGTTCGTTCGCACAGGCGGCCTTCTTCGGACAGCGGCCTTTCATGCACATCCGGGGGGTCATGTGAGTGCACCCTTTCGGATCTAATTCTTGCCTGATCCCAAGTTTGCCCAAGTATCGGAATCCACGCTGAAGGCCAGGCAGGCTAGTGTCTTCAGTCAGGGAAGTTTGGGTTTTCTCAAGCAGGAGTGATTCTTCCTGCGGCCAAGCAGTATGAACCCTGATCACCCTGGCATCTCGGAGGTCTTTGGATGAAGTAGGGTCGAAGGTGCGATCCCACCGCCCTGTAGCGCTCAACACCTCTGAACATGCCAGGAGCCAGAATCCCCATCCCAGGCTGGAACTGTATGACGGTGCTTCTTGGGTGCGTGAAGGTCATCGGAGTCAGGGGAGGGAGATTAGTTGAAATCCCACCAGCCAGAGGCGACCCTGGACCCTCAAACTGCTACATGTTTGAGGTCCAAAACCCTGGCTGTGAGGGTCAGAACCTTAGCGAACTGAGGGTCCAATGAGCCTTTGGGCAGCAAGCATGAAGTCTATGTCACGATGTGGAGACCTGAACATGAACCGATTTCAGACCTGCCAACCAGCAGTTTTTTCCGTTTGGTTTTTCCTTGGCTTCCGGGTGAGGGCATGTTGAACTCCCTGCCGGAAGCTGTTGATTAGTGAACCTCCCAAAAACGTCCAAGTTCAGGGGAAGGTTTGCTGAAAAAAACATAAAAACTGGCTCAATCTTGGGGCCTTGGCAGTGGCAGATTATCAAGATCCCCATCTGTGTAGGCAGTGGTGGGTGGACGTTTGGCTTTTCACCCACGGAAGTCCTAAAACATGGTGAAAACCGCCTGGTCAGGCCCTGTCCGCGATGGTGGAACGCCTTTATGACGAGGACGGAGTGAGCGAAGAGCCGGGAATTGGTGGCCGACTGAGACACACTCCAATGAACATATATATATATATATATATCGCATTGGAATATGTGGAAAACCACCACAAACATCACCACCTGATCTGTTTGGGTATTTGGACAATGGTCGCCACCAGGGCGCCATGCCTCATGCCATCCACTTTCGTGTGGATGACACCTCGACCCCCACCGGAGGATTTCATCCCAAAAAGGGCCCAGGAGATTCTCCAAGATTCTCGGAGAAATAGCGACACTCGGCCCCTGCCAACTTTTGAGGGTGAGACCTGCCCCAGCTTTGGTGAGAATTTCCGGGCGCCCAGATGGTATTGATGCTGGGATTCTTGCTTTCACACGATATGCTGTTGTGCCCAAGCCTTCAAAATTCACAGATTCCCTTTTTCAGGGCTGTAGTACCTATAGGCAGATGAGATACACTCCCTGAAATGACGTGGTTTGTACGCACCACCTGTTTGGTACGTGGACGGAAAACTCCTGGTCCGAGTCTTCGGACACCATGCCGCCATCGCTCTTAGGTTGTTGGAGGCCATCACTTTTATAGATACCTAGCGCTTCCGGTGTCCTGTCTGGTGACCGGCCTAAGCAGTGACTTGGGCTGTCCAGCCAGGTAACCCGAACCGAAGCAGCTGGTAGGTTCCTTTCAGATTTGCGAAGCTGAGCATCGTTCTATCGGAGCGAAACAACACAGTCTGGAGGAGCTTCGAAAACGAGAGGACGGGCGCATGGGGGTCGCATGGAGGTGCAAGCTGTTGGGATGGAGTGTAGAAGACAAACATACAACATCAACACACATGAGTTGTGTATATAGGTACCAGCGAAGCCAAACGTTGAGGAATTCCAGCTTCACCCCCAAAAAACGAACTAATTCCGTGGATTCTTGCATTTCTCCGGGTCTCTCCGCTTTTTCTCGCACCTCATGGGGGTTCCTCCTCGCCTCCGGGTTTTCTCGCCCCACATTCTCGCACCACCGCTTTTGCTCGCCCCATCTCCGCATTTTCTCGCTCCAAGTCCGGTGGCCGATGTTCTCCGGCGCGTAATTTCAATTTCTCCGGTTCCACGTTTGAGAGGTGTTTCGATCCCTTTCCACACTTCCAACAAAAACGAAAGAAACTCTGAGAAACTCCGATCTCTTTCCGGCATTTAAGGTATAGCATGGTGTAACAGTGTAGCACACTACAAGTGTTGTAAGTAGGATTGTACATCACATTACGTACATCACATATTCTGTAAATTGCGTGAATGACACATAGACATGTCAAATCATGCAACGACAAACAACGTCTGAGCCAATTGGTTCACCAGAAGATTCTTTGGCCTCACTTCTTTTTGGCCAGGCTGCCAGGTTACCAAGTTCGCATCGACCACTGGACCACTCGACCGAGTTCAGACTCGACCAGTTCGTGGAATTGTGTGGCACTTCTCAGGTCGACCATTCGGTTTAACCGGCGACCACCCTCCGACACCTGGTTTTGCTTTAGGTGATGTTCTATTTTCCTATGGCAAAGTTTTAGGACTGAACATGGCAAGTTGTCAGTGGTCGTGGTCGTGGGATCTCAACATGCATGGTCAGTTGCCCAAAAACGTAATCAGTGGTTATCAGTGGTGTCAATATGTTTCTGTCTTTGGAAGGTCACTGGTCTCCCAGAGTTTCCAGAGCGCACTGATGATGTTCAGACTTTGTTCTGATTCCTTGAGTCTACCAGAAACTATTCTGAATCCTTGGAGACGTCTTACTTCTCCAGGCATCTCTGGCCAGACTATTGGATACAAGCGTTCCAGGAATCATAGATATCATAGATACTACCTCAGAGATGTTAGTCTTTTTTCATGGTCCAACTGTGGCTATCACAAGGACATCCAATCTTGGATGCCTTGATCCTTCACTGGACATGAAATGACGAACTCCTTGGATTCGAACACGATTCGCCGTGTCGGTCCGAACGCGCTGCTTCGGCGGGGTCCGCCGTGTCCGTCTCCAGCTCCAGGAACGCCGCCTGGCCCGAGAGATGGAGCGGGAACAGGAGACCACGCGAGCTCCGCTCCGCTCCGGGCTCCTGGCTGGCGGTGTGCCGAGGTGTCGGTGAAGCGGCAGATTTGGGGGGTTTGGGGGTTGAGGAAAACGCAGATCTGTGGGATGCTTTTGGTGGTTGCTTTGATGTTGAAGATATTGAGATGAAGCATTTGCATGTTGCGTCACAATTCAAGGTTGCTGGCAGGTTGTTTCAGCATAGGGGCGGTGAGGACATCTTCAGGGCAAGGACTCTTCCAGCACCACCGGGTGTTTCGGGTGGTTCGTGAACCCCCCCCCCTGAGTATGCATGTGTTCTCCGTCCAATAGCCATCCGAACTCAGTGGTGCTGGTGAAGGGGACGTTGTTTTGTTTCTGCGTGTCACGGGCGGTTTGACCGAAGCCGCACACCTGTTGCAGGACGTGTCCGTCCACATCAGCAGGGTATCCTGAAGGGTTTGTCCCTGCCATTGCACTACGCTACCACGAACTCTCGCTTGATTCGGCAAAAGCAGCTGACTTGTTCCTTTCTTGGGCGCAAAGGGGACATGTGTAAAATACGAGTGACAGCAAAAAGAGGCTGGACTCATCCAGACCTTTGCTCAATGTTGCACAGCAACATCAACATTCACAGTCGAGCCCTAATCAGACCACCCAAAGACATGTGTCGATTCTTCAAGGGATGTAGCTTTTGCATGCTTTTGCCCTCACTAGTTTGCATTTGCTCGACTGAGCACGGCAGGAGCTGGCTAGGGAGGCTCCTTTTGTCCCCTGGTGGCAATTGAAGGTAAGACTCTTGGGACGATGACAGTCCGTCAGACTGGAATTGGATGGTTTGCGTGTTGTTCAACCTTTACCTTGGATGCCAAAATGTGCGATCCAAAATACAACATGATGGGAAACCATATGGATACTGTTGCCACCTGCGACCAGAAGACGTAAATGTAATTCCGGTCGAGGTTGAAGAGACTCATAAGATCTCAGAGCCAGTCTCAGAGCCTTTCGGTGATCAGAGATTCAATGAGATAAACATTATAATGTTTGGTTGTGCTATGTTTAGGACATTCCTTGGGTTCAGGTCATGTTCTACTTGACGGTTTTTTTTGAGCTGAAGATCCTGGAGCCCGGTCTTTGGCTCTTATAAGTACATGCATATAAATATATAAACCTTTGTTTAGCGCGGTTCAGTACTTCCACGGGGGAAGTCCAACTTCCTTGAAGGCCTAGAGTTGTTCAGGTGGCCAGATCCTCTTTGTTTGTTTTCCTTTTCATGAAAAGAGTGTCACCCTGACTCCATTTCATGCCCTTAGACCCACGTAGAAGAAGGAACCAACGGGACGACCCAGCCTGAGTTCCATTTCATGCCCTTCCCAGCTCAGACGGTGCCCAGCCCGGTCCATTCGCTTTGCTTGGGGTTCCACGGGTGAAGGACCGACCGACGAGTCGGTAGGTAGCGGCGACCGTGAGGAACCGGTGCGAAGTGGACCGTTGGACCCGTGAGAAAGAACCCCTCATTGGGAGATAGATGTGTTTGGCTGGAAGTTTCGGATAACATGAGGAGTGCAAGATGGAGCTCGAGGCTTCAGGCTTTCTTTTTTTGGAAACAGTTTGGTGATTTGGACATCGATGGCTTCAACAATTTCTTTGTGAGCATGTTTGAACCTCCACCGGACCAGGTCCAAATCCAGTTGCCAAGCCAACACGGCCTTAGGCACCCAATGTACGGCCCCGGCGCTGCCCGTGGCCCCAAGGGTCGCGGAGCGAGGGACAGGTGGTCCAATGTAAACATCCGTGACTTCTTCGACCCTCCAAACCATAGCGGTGTCGAACACATCACCTGCTGAGAAGGTACGACTGGATCCATAGGGTTTGGCCATGAGTTTGGGCATGTTTCCCAATGAACATCCACCTTTGAATGTGAGAATGTGAGCAATCATTGAGTTTGGGGGTTGCTAGCATTTACTTTTGCCTCGTTTAGATCAAATTGATCAGCTTAAGATACATATCATGAATGCCTCGAGCATCCCCAAACTCCCAGATGCTGATCGGTTGAGTCGGGCTTTCCCCCAGGCGCGCTGAGTCCAAACAAAACAAAAGTGAAGGTGAAGTCCCAGGCACTGTTCGTGGTTTTGCCCATGGGAGTTCCCTTGAGAAATTCACTGAAGAAATGTCCTTTGATGAAGGGATCACGTGGAATGGATGGCCTGACCCCTTCACAAAACATTTTAACAAGAAAACAGCGGGCTTTACTTTCATGGAAGGTGAATCGGAGTGCATTCAGAGCAGGTCGAGGCCCAGAAGCTTCTTTGTCGTTTTGGTCAGTTGTTCTGTGGTTGATGATCAGCCAAGAGGCATTGACGGAGTCACATGTTTGAGTTTATTCCCCATCTGATAGAACAGAATTGCGGTGGGGATCACTCGAAGATACGAGCGTAAAGTAATTCTCTGCCAGCTTTGGATTTTGCACGAGCCTGGTGGACCCAGGGGGTGGACCGCTGTTTCTGGGCTCGTCCAGGGCCCTGTCCCGCCCGGCGTGCTGCGCCTCATGGGTTCGTTCCTTCGTTCCTTTCCCGCGCGACGCGGCGGGTTTTCGACCAGGTCAGGAACGGAGCTCATACTGGTTGGTCATACCGAACCGAACCTCTTCTTGGGGTTCGACATTTCTAGTAAGCTGCACACTCACCGACTATGAGCTTTGACGGTTCACCAGGAGACGGGACCTGAAGAGGTCAGACTGGTCGTTTCCTGTCGATCTGGCCGTTGGCTCCACCGCGAAATCGGGGGTACGCCCTGCCCGCCTCTTCGACCAGGCACGGAAGTCCACGGAACTGAGCGCCACCTCATCTTGTACGAGCAACGCTTGGACATCGCCTGGGGAACTCAGACCACTGAACAACTCGACCGACGACTGGCCGCTGGACTGGCCGAGGGCTTCGATTCCTGTCGCTTTTCGGGATCCGTTGTGGTACCTTCTCAGGTTCGGTACGACAGGACCCGACAATAGCACCGGCAAATCACAGTGTCGAACACATCACCAAACCTGAGGTTCGGTACTGACATAGGCTCCTTCCACAACAGTGAGTTCTTTTGAATCCATGAGTCATGAGTCTATTCCCTTGGGCTCCAGCTACCTCCTGAGGTTCAGGTTTAGTGGGTCTAACCACCGGACCTGAGGATATGGGCTCAGGAGCCCTATAGGGATTATCAACGGGCGACGAGCAAACTCCCAGCCGACCCTCGCCACCCCGGGAGTTCGCTGACCGACCATGTGTGACCACGTAAGAAACCACGAGCGGTCGTGGTGTAGAAACGGTCTCAAAGAAGTGGTGTTGAGTGTCAAAACAGATGATATGACTCTAAAACCGCTGACTTGTTGATTCTGAAGAAGACGGCAAGAGATTCTTCATGATGATTCTTCTAGAGCTGCTTTAAGCAAGTACGTGCTTCTTTTCCAGCAGCTCATCTCTATTCATAGCCTGGAGTGTGAGCCTACAGATGCGCTTGACATGTTGGGTTTTAGGAGTCGGGTCTGCTTTTGGGGGCGAAGATTCACAACGGACATACCCTGATTTGGCAGTGTTTTGAATCAGCAACAGATGGGATTTGGTGAAGCTGCAACAAAAGAAGGAATTAGAACTGAACGTTGAATACTCATGAAATGCTAGATGTATTCTGTAGTTCTGCTACACTGCTACATCAAAGGCAAGCGGTGTCCAAAGGATGTTCCGTGTGCTTTCCTTGTGGGACGTCATGATTCTGCTGTGTCTTTGGGGTGCCAGTACTTGGAATAATCAGACCAGGGCAGCTTTGGGCAGCTCCCAAATGAGTTCGTGTTTAAACATAGGGCCATATAGAGGATTCCCCCAATCAATGGGTTTGAGAGGGGGGTTTGGAGTCCATTGTTCTTCCAAAAAAGACCTCCACGACCTGAAGCAATCTGGTACCAACCCGCTCCCTCAGGCGAAGCGGCGTCGAGATCTGCAGGAGCAGAAGTTGAGGAGTGAGCTGGGGAGCTCAGCAGTTTTGATCGGTTGATGGACCAGATGTGAGAAGGTGGGAAAGAGTGGGATGACGGGCTGTATAGAGGCTGAAACATTGTTTGAACTATGTGGTGTCCTCAATCCGTGCTGAGAGTGAGGTGTTTCTTTTTAATATGAATGTCCTGGTAAATATATGTACATATAGTGGACTCTGGTGGACTAGACTCGGTATTCGCACACAAACATAGGAGACTGTGCACTGTGCATAGGAACATGTAAGAACACCAAACCAAGCGCCAGAGTCTTTCTTCCGGTCGGGTGTGTTTCTTCACGTCGGAAGGTGGACCGTGAAGGCACAGAAGGCACGACGTTCGACGAGTTCCTGGCATGAGCGATCTTTCAATGTCACCCAGGCGCATCCAGGCAGTCCATGTATCAAATAGCAACCATGGATGAGTCAAAAAGGTGTTTTTTGTGTTGGGTCCTGTCGCCCCAGTGCTAGACCAGACCATCGACTCAGCGGGGGCAGGATTCTTGCGGTTCCAGGCCCCTGGGCTGCTGGGTAGGATCAAACGAGAAGAAATGCTGAGAAGGACGATGTCCGAGCTGGGAGCTGGCCTGATCGTGGACGCTAGGGCTGAGCTGGACTCTACCAACCTTCACTATGGCGGCTGATTCAGGGTCCAAAATGCAATCTTGTTATGGACCATGACACGTTCCTGACAGCTGTGGATGCGACGCTTGCGTTCCAAAGCTCCAGTGACGGCCTTTTAGCAGCACGCCCGCGCCCGAAAAGCACAAAACAATCCTAGCCAGACACCTTGAGGATTGTAGACCCCGCGAGTGTCCCCAAGGACAAACCAAAGTTGGCAAGGACAGGTCCCCGCGCAGTTTGACGACCATCACGACCGGCCAAGGTCCAAGGCCTGGACCATTCTGGACCCCATTTAACAACCCCCCGCATGTGTTAAACCAAACATGTGTTGTTGTAAATGTTGTTGGTTTCAAATGACAATTCATTTGGCCCTGTTATTTCGTTCTGCTGTTATGTTCATGTTTGATTTTTAGACAATTTCAACCATATAGGGCTTTGCCTTGAAAGTGGCAGCTGCTGTGTGCCCAATCAAACAACCAACTAACTACACTTAGAACACACTCAATCATGCACCAGCTGCTGTGTGCAGTGTATAGTTCATTCACTCCAAATCGGTTTCCGTCCCATCCTTCTTTCCTTCCTTCCTTCCTTCCTTCCTTCCTTTCAACGGCTGCTCACGAACCGCCTCGCTTTCCGTCGCCCGAGGCGCGAGTACTTAGATCGCCACAGCGTCCATCGAGCGCGTTCTCCTCGGTCCCCACAGGCCCGGACCTGGTCGGACGCGTGAAGCGTCACGAAGCGCGTGGCTGTGACGAAGAGGTGACGACCAGTCTGACCGGCACCTGTCAGGTGAGGGTTTGGTGACCTGTTTGGGGATATTTGGCTACCTGTGTTTGTGTTCTTTGCAGTGGTGTTTCTTTGAACATACGGTAGCCAATGGTTGTGGCACCATGGAGCATGGAGTACCAAGCAATACCAAGCACAAATTGATATGTTGTGCTCTTGAACATCTGGGGGTTGAAAATGTTGAAAGACTATCAGGGGCCCCGGGGTAGCTTGACCCATGGGAACTTTTGGATTGGGTGACAAGCAGTGCGAAACTGTGTGCCAGTTGATGCATTCCTCACTTTACCTTGAAGTCCATGGAGGTTTCTGCAAGCTAGCAGCAATCACGACCACATTATTTTCTTACAGGTATGATTTCAATACGTTTCAATGTACATCAAGTGGTGCAAGCAGTGACGGTGGGCCACTGTGGCATGGACTGGATGGTTCCCCGTGCTTTGGCTCATCCTCCAGGAGGCTGTCCAGTGAATCCGAAATCACTGTCCATGAGGGATCCTGACCATGTCTTACAAATTGTCAGTGTTCACTAATTAATCACTAATTTCCTTCAAACTCCTTACATAATTGTCCAGCATTTTACCAAATGTTGCAAATGTCCTGCACCGTACTACACTGACATACGTACTGACAAAGTGTGTTTTTTCACTACCTAGGTTCATTCAAAGTCCTCAATGTTACAAAAATCTTCAAAGTCCTTAATTTGCACAAATGTCCTTCACAACCTCTAATTGTCACACACGTCCTTGTAATGTTCATTAATGTTCACTATTTTCCTACCAAATCACTAACTATTCAAAAACCATGCAAAACTATTTTTCCTGTCTTACATTGTTTCAATATGTTGTTCCTTCAAAACCACTAAGTCAACATGCAATCATAATTCAAACCTTAATTGTCTAAAACCCTTAATGTTAATGTTTCCTTCACAATCAACAAATGTTCATATTATGTTCCTTCAACATCAACAATCGGTGTTCACAATGTTCTTACAATATGTTTTTTTTTTTGTAATTTGTAACACATGTCCTTCAAAAACACAATTGTTTGTCAAATGTCCTTGAACATATAACAGGGATTTTAGCACAGGAAGGGGCTTGCAGCATAGCCAAGGAAGAAAAGATGCATTGCATATTGCAGAAGGCCCCAGGGCACAGACCAGCTTTTAGATATCTTGGCTGCAGCCGATGTGCTTCTTGCAAGTGAGGAGGCCATGGCCTCACAGGCAAAGAAGTGCCTCCAACATTTTGCGTGACTGCAAATCACATTGAATGATGGTTTGAGGTGGCAGCCAATTCGCAGGTTCCACTTCTTCTATCACCTGGCTGATTGGGCAAAGTGGCAGAACCCAAGATCCAAATCGACATATGGCAACGGAAAGCTGGGTTGGCCAGATGGCCACTTTGGCTCACAGCTGCAGCCAGGCACAAGGCTTACAGCTGCGTCCAAGGACCAGGGCCACAAAGCTGACAGATTCGTTCTGTCAGAAATACCTTCTTGGGCACCAACTGAGGAGCAACGATTTCCTTGAAGGTTTGAAGCAGGGCCAGGTCCGTGTCCATGTACATGGCTGGTTGAAAGGTTTGGAGGCTTGAAATGTTGCCAGTCCCTTGCACAAAACCAGCAACGTTGCTGATGATCGTGCTGACCTGTTCCTGGCCTTTCTTTGTGTCCCAAATCGGATGTGGTTTTGAGTGCCCTTCCGGTGCTGGATACACCCTTCTATCGTGGAGGTGGCTTTTGCTTTTGCTTGCCGCTGCTTGCCGTGGTGTCTCGGTGTCTTTTAGTGGATAGGCCTGTGCCTGGTACGCCACCAGGCACGTTTCCTGTGACGTTTGTTGCGCGTGGTAGGACAGGGTGATAGCTTCATACAATGCAGGCGTTAAAGCTATTCCCAGACACTCCATGTATGCCATAGTTGCCAACATTCGGGTGGTTCGGGGGGTCAAATGTAGGCATAATTATATGGCAGTCCCAGGGAGTGTCTGGGATTGGCCAGGCATCAGATGATTCAAACCACACTGCTCGATGCGCAGGCCAATGACTACGCAGTGTACCAGCGCCGCTTGGCCGGGAGGGACAAAGGCCTTTCATTTAGCTCTGGGAGTGGTATCCTCGGCACAAACCATGATTTGGTTCATGAAACCACTTTGTGTTCAGAACGACATGAAGGCAAGCAAACTTGCGAATTTTATGATGTTTGACCTATTCAATCTGATCGATTCATTTGACCTGCTGCGCTTTGGATCACGCGTTCTGTGGGTATATGAAGCATTGTGGTGCTATGTGTTTGCAATGTCTTCCGCCGTTTGGTCGGTTGTGAAAACGGTGCGCCAAAGCACTTCCAAACGGCGCTCAGTTGAGGTTTGCACGAAGAGGCGGAGATCAAGCGGCAATTGGGCATGCAAAGGTGTCCGGTTGGAACATCACATGAGGTTCTGGGTTCGTTCTGGGTTCATGACAGGTACATTTTGTATAGTTTGTTGTTTGACTAGAGCCACCGGTGGTCGGACAGAACAATTTCAATTGAAGGCCTCCAGTCGACAGTTCTCCATGGTCTCAAAATGTGTTTCATGGTTGAGGTGATTTCTTTTATGAAGGGGACAACACTTGCAAGCATTTGTATAATGAGACAAGCCCATTAAAACATCTTCAACCAAGTGGAAAACAGGGATTCTGGGTGCGGTGGACAGAGTGTGTGTTTCTTGAGATGTCTGTCAAATTTGTTTGCCAACCACAAATGTTTGCGATCAATTGCTCAAACAGAACTCCATCAACTGTTTCTTTGTTTAGCATGGGTGTTTCCCATCAGATCAAAAAACAACACAATTTATTGAGGATTAAAAATTATGTGCTACAACTTGGAAACAAATTGTAGACAAACCAATTGAGAGTTTCAGGGTTCAAGGACGTTGTTGCGTATAATGAGAACTGAAGAGGCTCCGCCCCATACCCAGAACTCAGCATGGTATGGATTCTCCATTATTTACTTTATACTATATACACGTACTTACTATTGGTTGATTATGGTTTATAGTTTTGTGTTTTGTTGTGTGGTTTTGTGTTTTGATCCAAATTGAACTGTTTGCTGGGATGGGATGAGGTTATGCTCAATGTCCACCGGTTGCCTGCGAGTCTTGTATTGTGTTGTCGTGCTTCGAGTCTCTTTGTCGTGCCTTCCATGAGACGATTAGATTATTAATGCATGTGCAAGGATCTTGTATTTAATAGGACACTTAGTGACTTAGTGGACGCTTGTTTTGCTGACATTGAGCCTATCCCCGAGACTATACAGTCTATGCATCTCCCCCAGGTCCAGAAATAGAACCAAACCTTAAAACCATGGACGACGGGCTGCATGGACCCTGAGAAATGTGTCTGTTGTTCAGACATGTTCGTGTCCGATGTTGGACCTCATTTTGTTCCCGAACACCTTCCCGAAATAGTGGTTTTGGCTGCTCCATGTGGTGCGGAAAGCACGAGGGTATCCCTAAGGTGTGCAAGGCAAATGTTCGGCCTGCCATGATTCGGCGACATGCGGCTGGAACTGTTGGTGTATTCTAGTGAGCATGCAGCGTCGGCTAGGAACTCGATTCTACTCCATTGAAACATGAGTTCTTCATTAAAATGTTCAACCAAAAAAAAAAAATATATATATATATGTGTGTGTGTTTCTTTTTTCAGACGATATCTGTCAGTGTTCGTAGACATCAGAAATCATTCCAGCCTATACTTTCCAAGCCCTCACCTGGTAGACTTGTCCACTTGTTTACCATATAGGATTCCCAGACCGCTTAGGCAGCGATTGAAGATGCAGGAGGCCGAAAACAGAGCTGTGGGCTGCCGGGTTAATGGGTAAAGGTGAATTCTTTGCCTAGACGGACCTACATGAAATCGTGTTCAATTGGTTTTAAGGGTGAATGTAGGTCGGTATATATGTAGGTCGGTATATGGATGGATTGGGTGAGTGAAAGCGGGAACAGCTGTAGGCACCGCGACAACGCTGTTAAGTCTAGTCTAAGGCTTAGCAGCACATGCAAAACGGATCCGGAACATTCTAAAAGGCATGTGTCGTTGATTTGATGGAAGTAACTAGACTTCGATGTATTTTTCAACATGGCTTGTAATGGGATTCCTCCTTCTCCAAGAAAAAAACACCTCCAAATGGATGGCCGAAACCTCAATTTATGACCTCCTAAGGTGTCCCTACAGACGAAGCCCCGCTGCATATGTTGCAGGGTGGGCAAAGTATTGTTTTTGGTGACGAGGAAATCCTTCAAGAAGTGCAAGCAGCACGCTGGCCAGATCACACGGTCTGCACGCTGGTTTGCATGAACTTCTTCACTGGATTAGTGACATCGATGTCAACACTCCAAGTGGGTGGTTCTACTTCTACATCTCGCCTCACTTGATCTACTGCCGAGCACCTGTCTGGAGCCATGGAAGCGTTCTTGACTGCAACAACTGAACACTTTAATGTACTGACTCGATCGCTTGCCTTGTGGTCTGCTGTCATTTGTACTGCTTGTACCTTCCAACGTACCTTGTCCTTGCTTCCAACGCAACTCCTGTGTTCGCTGCACTCTCTCTTGACGATGTCAGCCATTTGTTGCAAACGAAAAGTGGCTGCTTCCTCGCTCACTTGAGATGCTGCTTCTCGCTCAGCTTTGTCGTTGACTTGTTTCATGCCCAGTCGACACCCATCTCTCGCTTGTTGAAGGCAGACCTCCGACTGCCTTGAGCAATGAAATTTTCGCGGAAAGCAGCTTCTACATACTGAAAATAGACGTGCCACCTTAAACAAGGTCCCTCAAACAGGATGTTGGTGTGTTTTTTAGTCAGTACTGTATGTACTTGGAGAGCGTACTGAGTGTCCCATCTTGAGGCTTTAACTATGTCCCCGACCCTGGAATTTCGACTCAGACGTTCCTCCATTTTCCTCCAACCACAGCAGAACTTTCACAAACATGCGGCCAGCGTGGTACCCGAGTCCCAGGCCCACCGAAGTCCCAGCTCACCGAAAGTGGGACGTCACCTGGAGAGAAATGGTTCTTCAGGTCTCCCACCAGTGAGCGGGGTTGGATTTAGACGTTCATCCAAAGTCGATTGGGAAGTGGCGTGGCCTAGTTGGCCAAAAGCCAGGCATTTCAGAACTTGGGTTTGCATACGTTTGCACCTCAGTCTCATCAGCAGCATCAGCATATAATAGGATAGTGGGTATAGTCCACAATGAGTATAGTCAACCCGTGTGAAGCCAACATAGATAGCAGAAGTCATGCAACTAAGTACACGGTTCGGCAGTCCAATGACACGTCTTCCCACGGTTCCCACGGTTCCGGCCTCTCTCACCAGGCTACCGCCTCTTAGGGAAGGACCTCAAGAATCCATGGGGCTGGTATTATTTATATCATTATTGGAACTAAAAACCAGTTATTTTACTGGGTCTTTGGAGGGTATGTTTGGCTGTGGGTCCAAACCCACCAGGAGACCAACCCGTGCACGAGGTCCCGCCCCCTACCTGACCGCGTCGTTGCTCGGACGGCGAGTCGGGCGAACCTGGTAGTTGGATCCATCACCAAACTCATTGGTAGTAGTTTGGTAGTGGTTTGGAACTTCACCTCCCAAACAATCGGACTTGGAATTCAGGGCAAATGTAGGTAACATATTCCAGTCCCATGGATGGTTTAGGATAGGGCCAGGCTCACCTTGCTAGAATCGAGCCAGCAGAACCGTGGTGGCTGAATAGAATCTTTGATTTTCCCATAGGCCCTGGCTCTTGATCGATGGATCGAGCCAGCAGATCCCACAAAAGCGTACAAACACAATTGTGAATTTGAGGTAGGATCTCATTCTGTTGAGCCAGGTTGTCACACTATGTTGTGTCTGCCGCCGTTTGGCTCCTAGGGCCCTTGAGCTATACCGTGCTCGCTTTCGCAGTGAAAAGAGCGTGTGGACAGTACGATTCCGGTTGCTACCGACATTGGTAGCGGAGCAGGTGACGGCCTGACTCCGGCACGTACTGATCCAGGTCATTGGAATCGTAGAACATCAAGCCTGAGCTTGCATTCCTTGCGTGCTTTCGCTTGCCTCCTCTGATCCCGTTGGGGACAGAGCCCGGAATAGATTGCTCGCCCGAGCAATCTCCGTCGGAATCGTCGAACATGTCCATTGCTGGACTCAAGTTCCATTCGGGTAGCACTGGTGATAGAATAGGCAACCCCCTGGAAACCAAGAGTGGGTCTTACATCTATTGGGGAGATCCTGCATCATTTCATGATTGGAAATTTCGAACCGAACTCCGCATCAAGCTGTACGACCAAGCCCAAACGCAACCAGCAAAGAAGCAGGATCCCGTGACTGGACCTGCCGACGAAGGGGAGCCTTGGCCACCAGAGTCAGACGAAGGATTCGCATTCCCTTCGCCTGGACACTATCCCGAGGAGTTTGAGCCCGAGCCGCGTGAGACTGCCGGTACTCCCAAGTCGAAGGTTGATGCAACATCACCGAAGGCTTCGTCCGTTAAGTCAGACAAGTCGAGTATCATCGATCGTAGTGTCCTAGTGAACAAGATCGTAGAAGGTTTGAGAGGTGATGCCTTTTTGCTTGCCAGAGACTTAGGTCTAGAGACACTTGCACGTCCAGGGGGACTGGAGCGTCTCATCGAGGTGATACGTAATCATGTGTTTCCTCGAGCCTTGGAGGAGAGTAAGGAGCTCTTTCGCGCAGGACAGAAGCATGGAGGACCACTGTCGAGACAGCCTACAGAGAGCATGTTGTCGTACACTCAGCGTCGACGACGCTGGTGGACCTTGTTGGTTGAGCTTGACCCCACAATGATGATCTCAGAAGCTTTCCGCACAGAGCTATTGCTGGAGATGTCAGGTATTTCCAGGCAGGAGGTCGTTGTGGTGAAGGCTTGCCGCAAGAGCGATGACTTCGAAGGTACTGCACGAGTCCTGGTTGACAACTACAGTGGAATCCATCTTCGTGAAGGGTCCCGATCCTGGGCAGGACGGGGAACTCAGCCTCAGGTAGGCAAAGGAAAAGGGTACCAGAAGGGGTACCAAGGTAAAGGTAGCCAATACCCTCGTACTGGTTACAATGCCGTCTATCCCGATTGGGAAGACAATTTCGATTGGAGAGATGAGGACTTGCAGGAGCATCATCATGAAGAAGATTCTTTCGTAGGCATGCTAGGAGGGGTTGAAGAGCCTGAAGAACATGAACATCCTAGCCATACTGAATACGAGGATTTTGAGTATCATGATGATGTTGATGAATATGAAGAAATTGCCTTGAATGCAGTAGTTGATTGCGAAGATGCCGAAGAACGTTCCTCAGGTGATGCTATCCAATTGCAGCTTGCCGCATTCGTCGCTTTCGGGAAGGCAAAAGGCAAGGGCAAGGATAAATTCAAGGGGAAAGGTAAAGGTAAAGGTAAGATAGTGAAGTCTCACCTTAGCATCGAGCAACGTCGACAGAAACTGTCCGAGATCAAGGCGAAATCCAAGTGTCTTCGTTGTGGTGGTTTAGGTCATTGGGCCGGAGACCCCCAATGTAAGATGCCCAATGCCCCGAAGACTGGA